TTATCAGAGCCTTATTTGACTATGATCCTAATGAAGATAAAGCAATTCCTTGTAAAGAAGCTGGACTTGCTTTCAGAAAAGGAGATATCCTTCAGATCATGAGCCAGGATGATGCAACCTGGTGGCAAGCCAAACATGAAGGTGATGCCAATCCCAGAGCCGGCTTGATCCCTTCAAAGCATTTCCAGGAGAGGTGAGCTACTGAGAAGCATAATTCCTTTTCTTTGTTTGCAGTAAGAGACGAGACTTATTGCTGAGTTGTTAAGTTAGCATAGTTGGCATATATAATGCTCATAGATTACATGGGTACAATAAACATGCATTTGCAGCAGGACAACTGAACTTGGGAACATGTTGCTGAAATACTCTGGATTTCCTTATTTCTCTGGATAGAATTAATAATGACAAAAACTGATAGGATAACACTGATCCAGACTGAAAGAAAAAACATATGGAAAATAGCACATCAGTATCTGCATTCAGAGTGATACACTATGCAGGAATAAGAACTGCAGCAGGTTTTGGAGAGCTTACAAAAATTTCAGGCAAGATTTAATTTTTTTAGATTGTGAATAGATTGCATTGTTTTAAGTTGATTTCTTATAAAATCTACTGGACATTTTGCAATAGTCTCATGATATTAAGTGTTTATTAATTCCAAATTTGCAGTGAAAACTGAGGAGTTTGTGTCTTTTCCCCACCACCTCCCATTTTATAGGAGATTTGCATTAAGAAGACCAGAAGTGCAGGTTCAGCCACTGAAAATTTCCAACAGAAAATCATGTAAGTCTGTTAACCTGGAATAGAAATAATACTCCACATCTCTAACCTTATAAAATAGCAGTTTGTTTCAACTACAGGATGCATTTCTCCCAGGCACAACAGCTTCTTGATCTCATTGTATCAGTAGGAAAATAAATATAAATAATGTCATTGAAAGCTTTAAAAGCAGCTAGAAATATTCCCAGCCCTCTGACTTTGTTTTTGAAGTACTGAGCCTAATTAATATTTTGGTATATAATATTTCAAAAGTTGAAGAGTATTCTTTTCCTGTTGAAACAGTACAGAATTGGCTGAACAATTTAAATAATTTGGACTGCAACAACACAGTGAAATTTACATTGAGAGTAAGATAAAAGGTCTGATAGTCTCTCCCTCTCTCCCCCATATAATTGATAATTTTTTGTGTCCCATGAAGCAGTGGAATTTTTTAAAAATCAGAACATTCAGTTCATTGATACACATTCACAGAATTACTTCTTACTGTTTTTTAAACAAACTCATTCTTAATAGTCTCTGTTTTTAAATATGGTAGTTGCACAATATAAGAAAAATAACTTCTAAGAAAGTGCATACATTGAAACAAATATTTTCACTGGAATTTACATCAACATCTGTTTTAAGTATTATTGCATACTTTACTTGACCTGTTATTTCTTTCAGTTGTACAGACTCATAACAAAGTGAGCAATGTAAGAAACTATCATGCTACAGCAGGATCTAAATCTTAAATACAAACACGATTATGAGTTCAACTAGAAGTATTCAGAAAGTGCTCTAATATTTCCAACCACCTTTCATTATCTAACAATGAAAGAAGAAGTATGGATACTATGGCAAACAGTGGATGCTGGCACACTAAGTGCCAAACTAAATGCTTTTTACTTTAAAACTCCTCACCAATGTTTCTGTTGCAATTTTCCTAACTTCTTGCTGTGGTTTTTGTGTTCTGAAGCTTGACAATAACTGTTATTTTTCTGATAATCTGCATTTTCTATCTTTCATTCCATTTCACTGTTACTCCAAAGCCCTTGATTAGCTTCGTGATTACAGTAACAGATATTACAATTGCACTATAGCTTTTCTATTTACATAGATCTTAGAAACAAGAGGAGCTTCTCCAGCTTGTAGTAAATATGTTGTTTTTCTAGGTTCTAGGTCAAGTTGCTCTGCCCCAGTTTTGGAAAAGTGTCTGATTCCAGGGTATAGCTATTTCTCTCTGCCCACTGTTCTTGAATCTGGATAATATACTCAACAAGAGCCTTCAATTAAGGTGGCACTGGTGCTTTTGAAGAGGTAAATCAGCTGCTGCAGCAACACTACATGAATCCTTTTATAATGGACTGCATCTTTCTAGTGACCTTGAAGTGAAAGGTTTTACAAGATGCATCGCACCCTTCCAAATAGGCAGCCTGAACTTGATTGGGAATTGCCAAAAGTACAACCCAAAGACCCAGAGTACAATGTCTACTGTTGCCTCTGCTTTTTCCACTGACTGTGTTAACTAGCTTGAACAGGGAGAAGAGTTCTTCTCTTCCTCCCCTTGCCTTTAACACATGACAGAGCATGAGGGTCAAGCAGTATGCCAGTAACTGTTCTCTCTTGGAATTTCTTTGAACAAAGCAAATCCCAGCTAAATACCATCTAGAAGGCAATGGTGCCTCTTGAAGGAGGAAAGACTGCAGAGTAATGTAGGTTTGTCATTCTCTCTCTTCCTTTTTTCTTAACACAATCTGCAACTATATGTGCCAGATTTTCAGGGAACAGGGGAAATGCTGTTTTGAGTAGAGATTTATCCCTTCTTTCAAAGACTAAACATTTTTTTAGTGCTGGGAGGAAATTCAGATCCTTCATAGAGAAGACATTTTAAAAATCAGAATTCAGTGGTAGTAAAAACCGTTATGTCTAGGATGCTCAAATTGCTCTCAGGAAAACCTTCCACTTACTTGGATTTTCAAGAAGATTGTGCTGGGAACCTCTGCACATTTGTGATCTTTCTGAAGTTAATCAACCTTTTTTTGTGTTACCAAGCACAGCAGTGAATCTGTAGGATATGAAGGCCATGTCTGTATTTGTGCATAGCAATCATCTTGCCAAAACTGGGAGATGCTGGAAAATCATGCATTGCTCAGCTGAACAAACAGCATTCTGACAGCACCAGAAACATGACATAGAGAACAGAAAATTGGAAAGAGCTGCTGGGTTCAATTTTGGGGTTTTTTTAGCCCATGTATGAAGGTGGGAAATTGATAATGCTTGATTTCTTCAGTTTGTTGTTTTTTTTTTTTTTTAACCCTTCATCTTAATATAGGGTTTTCCAGTGCTTGGAAGGGTAATTATGTGAAGAGACATGTTCTGTAGATCATCCTGAACTTGCTGTATATTGAGAGGCTGATTGCTATTGCAGTGGATCCCATCCAGTCATGTGACCTGGATTTTCTTAGCAGTTTGGAGGTAAAAAAGGGCAATTTGCCAGTTGATATTCTTATGGCTTCCAAAAAAAGATGAATACCTGTTGACTTCAGGGGAGCTGCTGAGAAAAGTCTCTTTCCTGACAGGACTGGGAGTTGTATTAGGTAGCTTTCTTGACATGTGGTAGGTCGCCGTGGATGTTGGTCTGCTCTTTTCAGTCAACTCATTCCACAAATCCCATGTTTGGTAATGAGGAAAAAATCTTCATACATACCCTTATTTTTAATAGGGAGAATTGAGGAAAAATACTCTGTTTTCTTGAATACCCAAAAAATGAGAGTCAGATCTGGTTTCTTAGGTGGAATTCCAGGGTGCCTTTCTACTTGAAAGTTAATCTAAAAATCAGTTAAAATCATATCATATGCAAGAAGTATCTTATAGCTTCTTTTTTTCCTTTCTTCTCAAGCAAGTCCTGGAACTGGAAAGGACTGTTATATTTATCTATACGAAGAGTCTCTGAAACAGTCAACAGCTATTTTTGCTTTGTTAATTAAGTTGTTTCAAAACCTGAAAGGAGATAGATTAGATTACTTCTAGGAAGACTTCTTTCTGTTTCCTCTTTTGAATTTTTCACTCTTTTCAGAGTAGCAATGCATGTAGTTGCTAATCTTTGCATATATTTGTGTATCATACGTTTGGAAGCGAAATAAAAGTGGGCTTCTTTGATGATGATTGTATGTATACCCAAAGTGAGGAAAGAGTAAAAAATACTTTCTACAAAACTTTTTCTGCAAGAATTGTTTGCACTGAAATAAACAAACCGAATCTACTTCTAAGCTGTTAAAAGGATCAGTTTTTAATAGAAATGCCAATTCTTATTTTCACTTTAATAGCCAAGTGAACTATTCCATTGTGTCTATGTGTAAATACACATGCCTATCCCAGCATTTCGCCCTTTTCTTGAAAGATAAAACAGAATCCTTCTCACATTGTACCTGCTAAAGTGAAAAATATTTCACATATCATGTGTACACTGGGGAAGGGGGCAGAACAGTGTGTACTCCATATTGAAAGGTAAGTGAAATCACACTTTGTTGTGTGCAAATGGAGAAGATGCACAGTTTGATGGTGTCTTGGACTCAAGTTGAAGGAAATGAGCAATGTAGGAGTCTGCACAGACAAGAGGAAGATATAGAAAAAGTAGGAATAAAAAAATTTAGGGAAAAGAGAGGAAGTGAAATTTTGTATTGAGGATGAAGAAAAGGAGAAAGTATTTCAACAAGGGCAGTGGAAGGACACAGAAACTGTCCACAAGCCCCATTAAGCAAAACCCCACAGAGGATGGGCTTTGAAATTCTTAGATTAATGCAATTAACAGTATCATGCAGGAGTATTGCTGTAGTCATTGATTGTGCAATGGTTCAGTTGCTTGTTGATTCTGTTTAAATAAAACACTAATATAGTTACATGTAAAAGTCTTTGAAACAGTGAATGCAAAAATTACTGACAAGAACTCTGACCTGATTTGTTTTGCAGTTGTTGGTAGAAGACCTTAGTACGTGCAACAGTAATATTTGATGCATGAGATAAGTGGCTGTTAGGTGTTCTGACCTGCTGATAAGATTGATATGTTAAACCAGGCTTAGGGTTAGGGCAGAAGTGATGGAAGAATAACAATCCACTGAAGTATTTTCAACATTTTTTTCTGTACTTAACAGCAATGACTTTTCAGCAAAAATCAGTTTTGTACATTAATACTGTGGGGAAATGATACTGGGGGAAAAACTGTAAGAGCAAGCAGCATAGGAAAAAAAGTAGGAAAATGGAATGAAAGTAAAGGAACAGAGTTGCATGAGATTGTTTGTGTGAGTAGGACTAACCCTGCACGTGCTGGGGTGATGAATGAGCCATTTACCTGAGTGGATGTGAGGAACTCTCTGGATACAGAGGGAGGTTCTGTAGATGTGCCAGCCTTTGTGCAATTGCCTTTTGTGTCTGAGCTTGTGAGCCACTGCTGAATGCCAGCTCTTCAGAAACTTGCTCACCTGGTAGTCCTCAGTAATACTTAACAGCATTCCTGGCTTTAGGTGGTCATCTCAGCTTGAACAACTTGTCAGGCAGAGCTGCCTCCCTGAGTTCTTCTTTTGCTGCATGCTGGCTAAACTGGAGTGACATGAGACTTAGTACAGGGAAGAATTATTTTCTTTAATAGCTCCCAGTCTGTTAACTTCAATATAAAGACTACTCATCCTCTGACTGAATAGATACTGCCAGCAGGTTTGGTCATTCTTGCATGTGTAGCTTACTTGAATTTGTAGGCCCAACAAATAACCTGTTTTGATAACCTGTTTTTTAAGGAAAAAAAAATCTTTGAATGACAACCAAATAACTTACTATTCTGCAGTTGGTATAAACTGCAGTAATCAGGCAAGAAATTATATTCCTTCAGCATAATTTTGCTTTCACAGTGGTTTCTGTGTTTATTCTTATGTTATGTATGTGTTGTCTCTGATGAAAATTACTGGTAACTTTATATTTTGTACTAGTGTAGCCTGTAAGCTCTGTCAACTTGTGCACTGTGTTCATATGTA